GTATACAATGTTCTCAAGCCCCAACTTCTAAATGATATCAATTTAGTTGAACTAGGTGCCCCTGCAATGGCTTCCAATTAATTTCAAAATTTTAATGATATTAATCACTTTTAAAGCATGAACTGGCCAGACTCCAGTATGAACCTCAATCTGACTTTGAATAGTAGCCAGCAGGATGGTCTGATTTCCCAAGGAGTGATTTATGAAAATCCTTTTACCGAGAGGACCGATCAAGTGTGTCGTCATTGTAAGCCAGACAAACCTTTGCAATAATGGAAATTTGTGTTGCAAAACAATACAATTAATTATAATGGAACCTGAAAAGCCTGTTTTAGACATGAGTAAAAAACAAATTCCTCACTGTGGTTGCTTGCTCTTCTTCTCTTTAAAGAGAGCCCACAGTTTCTAATCTTACTACCACAAGTTCGCACCGTGTCAGCCGTCTCCTCCCCTTCGGTGTGCTCTCCATAGCGATTATACGTCTCCATGTCAGAGAGAGCACTCTCCAGTGCATCCTCTTCATAGTCAGTGTGGTAGTCGGATTCTTCTGATGCAAGGAAAGAGTGGGGGACAGGAAGCACACTGTGGGTGAATAAACTGGAATATTTGGAGTGTAGAATGGTGACAAATACACGTGGGTGTGCAGGTGCATAAGTCAGAACATTAGAAATGTCATGCAGGGTGGACTTTGATGACAAATGCATTATAAATAGAGAGAACAGGAATAAAAAGCAAGTTTGAAGCTATTTGAGAAATCTACAACTGTTCTTATGCTTAAAAAATTATTGTCTTTGAATACGCTTCCAAACTGTGTGCCAAGCATGCCGGCTGCAAGAAACACTATAATGGAGTTGTCCTTCTCTAGATTGCTGTGTGTTGGAAATTACAGCAAAGTATAATGGAAACTAACTGCATGAAAAAAAAATCTGCTGCAGACTTGTTGCTGCAATTTCAGCTTTTCAGTGAAGCACATCTGGTTTTGCCTTTTTTTAAAGCTCGGCTAGTCCCAAAACCTTGTTTATGTTTTTAAGTCTTGATCTGCATTTTGTGCATTCATACAAATAAATAGTATCAAATGTATCACAGAAGGAGAAGCATTGCATCCCCTGGTTGTTGTACACTCCAGTAGCATCT